GTAATAATATCACTGAATTCAATTTATTGACAAGAAAAGGAGTTTTTCCCTACGAATATATTGATAATTGGGAAAAATTACAGGAAAATCAATTGCCGCAAAAGGAAGCATTTTATTCTAAACTAAATGATTCACATATTTCAGAAGATGATTATATACACGCGTGTCAAGTATGGGACCAATTTAATTTAAAAAATTTGGGAGATTATTCAGACTTGTATTTAAAAACAGATGTCTTACTTTTGGCTGATATATTTGAAAATTTTAGAAAAACTTGTGCATCAGCTTATAATTTAGACCCTTTACATTATTATACTGCACCTGGGCTTGCATTTGATGCAATGCTCAAATTGACAAAAGTGGAATTAGAGTTATTAACTGATATAGATATGGTGCTTTTTTTAGAAAAAGGTATTAGAGGTGGAGTTTCTCAATGCTCAAATAGATATGCAAGAGCCAATAATAGATTCATGGGGTCAGAGTTTGACAAAAATATAGAAGAATCATATATTATGTATTTTGACGTAAATAATCTATACGGTGCTGGAATGAGTGAATTTTTACCACTATCAAATTTTCAATGGGAAAAAAATCTAATAAACTTTGATGTTACAAAAATTCCGGATGATTCTCCTTATGGATATATCTTGGAAGTAGATCTAGAATATCCAGAAAAATTACATGATTTGCATAAAGATTTGCCTTTATGCCCGGAACATTTTATACCTCCAAATTCAGAGAGTAAATTACCGAAATTAATAACTAATTTACTTCCAAAAGAAAAATATGTTATTCATTATAAAAATTTGAAATATTATTTACAATTAGGAATGACATTAAAAAAAATCCATCGAATATTAAAATTTAAGCAATCGCAATGGTTAAAAGAATACATTGACTTAAATACAGAATTGAGAAAAAATTCTACCAATACATTTGAAAAAAACTTTTACAAATTAATGAATAATTCAGTTTTCGGAAAAACAATGGAGAACGTGAGAAAACATAAAGATGTTAGAGTAGTTTCAAATTGGGAAGGTAGATATGGAGCCAAAGCTCTGATAGCTAAACCCAATTTCCATAGCTGTAATATATTCGATAATAATTTAGTAATTGTTCAGCTCAAAAAACTACAAGTTAATTTTAATAAACCAATCTATGTTGGTTTTAGTATTTTAGATATATCTAAATTATATTGTTATGATTTTCATTATAATTACATCAAAAAAACATTCGGCGATAAATCCAAATTGCTGTATACAGACACAGACAGCTTAATTTATCATATCAAAGTTCCAAATTTTTATGATTTTATTAAACGAGATTTGCAACTTTTTGACACTTCTGATTATCCAGAAAATAATATTTATGGAATTCCTTTGAGAAATAAAAAAAAATTGGGTCTCATGAAAGACGAATGCAATGGGAAAATTGTAACTGAATTTGTTGGATTACGCTCAAAATTATATACATACAAAGTATTGGGTGAAAAAAATGAAAAGAAAAAAGCTAAAGGGGTTAAGGGTTCAACACTAAAAAAAATTAAATTTCGGGATTATAAAAAAACACTTTTTAAATTTAAAAATTTAATAAAATCGCAATATCTAATAACGAGTAAAAAGCATGATGTATACACTGTAAAGCAAATAAAAAAAGTTCTAAGCTGGCGTGATGATAAAAGAGTGCTTTTGCCAAAAAGTACAGATACTCTACCCTGGGGTTTCAAAAAACACAAATAATTAAAGACAGAGAATTACATCATATTTAACTGTCCTTGTTCATCAATATTAAAATGAAGTATCCATCTCACCCCATATGTGAGCGAGAACCTTATCACCTTCTTCATTCGATTCAAGCCTTTATCTTTGTCGTCTCAAATTTCATAAACTATGGCTTGGGTATAAAAAGGAGCTCGATTCAAGGGAGCTCATTAGACAAGTGACATCTGAAAAAATCAGAACAAGCTCCATATAGTGAATTTTTGTGTGTGCTAATTTTTTTAGTGATTTTGAATTCTGTGAGTAATTTATTAAAATAAATTAAATTAAACGTTTATAAAAAATTTTAAATTTGATTTTAAAATTTCTTTTTAGTATCTTCTAGATTAAAATTTTTTAAAATTTTATTTTAACTTTTTTAAAAAAAGTCAATTATTTTGCATTAAATTTGTACCTAATTTATTTTATTTAAAATAAAACGTTTTGTTCAATTAATTATTAATTTAAATTAAATATTCAATTTTTTATTAAAAATTAAATTGAATTAAGTTTTTATTGAATTTTTAATTTAAAATTTCATTCTTTTTAAATTTTTTAAATTTCACTTTGAAATCATTTATTAATTTTCTTGAATTAGATTAAATTAAAATTTTTCATAAATTTAATGAATTATTTTAGAAAAAATTTCATTACATTTTTTAAAATTTGATTTTAAATTTTTAAAAATAATTGATTTTAATTTATTAAATTTTTAATTTTTAATTAAAAATTTATAATTTTATTTTAATTTAGTTTTGACTTTTAAAAGATAAACTTTTTAAGACTTATAATTTATCAAATTTAAAATAAATTTTTTATTAAATATTCATTTTATTTTTATTTAAACTGTTTATTAAAAATTAAATTTTTAGTTAAATGTTTTACTTTTTATTAACTTTAGTATAAAAGAATTTTTTTATTTATATTTTTACAGAAAATAAAAAATGGCATACACGCGATTTATGATCAAAATTGAGGCACCAGCCGAATGGCTTTTTGCTACGATGGATGATGAGGCTTTCCAAAAAATATGCGTCATCTCTATTGCTACACGAGCAAAAGACTTGATCAGGAAAACCTTAGATCCCCAGGGGAGCACGGTAATTAATTATAAAGGAGTAAAGGCCGAAATTACTGAAACGCCTTCTGGGTATACTTTTCAACGATGTGAACCTTCTGCAACAAATATGTCTGTAAGTAAATTTAATTAAAACATGACATTTTATTTTTTTAACTTTATTAAAAAACAATTGAAAACAATAATTTAAAATTTCAATTTTTTAAAAATAAATAATCTTAGAAATACTTAAATATTTAAAATAAAATAATACTGATTTTTAAAAAGATAATTTAAAAAAACAATTTTTTAAATAAATAATATTTGAAAATACTTAAATATTTAAAATAAAATTAATAATGATTTTTTAAAAAAGTTATAAATATTATTTTTACAATAAAATATTTAAATAAATTAATTATAAGTATTGATTTTTGAAAATTAATTAATATTTTTTTCGCAGCAGCGTGTAACATCAACTGTTTCTTTCGATTTGGCAATTGCAATTCCGTCTGAATGGGTCACACCACAAACTGATTTCGAAATTCTCCGAAGCGTGTTAATGGTAGGAGTCGCTGTTTCAAACTATGATTTTTTTCATAAAATGGAAACGCTAGATAGGGTGTACCTTCGTCATCGGGGGTTGGTCGTTGAAGTTACTAAATTGAGCAATGTGTCGTTTATTCTACAAAGAAGACCTAATTTAAAAGTTCCGGAACACATTCATTATCCGGACGATGTCAGAGATAATATGCAGTTCAAGCAATTGGAGATTGATGTTAAAGAGTGCACAACAAAGGATATTATTCAAGAGGACAAGGAAGTGGAACTTGAAAACCGTTTAATTTTGGCAACCGACGAATTTATGAACCGAAAAAGTACGAGCGAAGAAAGCAGCGATGAGTCAATGGAAGTGGACGAAAATGAGGACGAGGAAGTTGACGAAAATGAGAATGCGGAAGTTGACGAAAATGAGAAGGGGGAAAGCGCTGATCAAATGGAAGTCACTGACGATACAGTGCAGGGCGCAACTCAGAAGGATGCCATTGTGGAAGGCGAGAAAGATGCGGTTGTGGAGGGGGAGAAAGAGAAAGATGTGACTATAGAAGGCGAGACAGAGAAACATGCGACTGTGGAGGCAGAGAAACATGCTGTGGAAGGTGCGACTGTTCAAGGAGAAAGAGATACGTCTGCAGAACGAGAGATAGAAATTGTCGACTTAGAACAAGAGAAGGATATCACTATCACACCTACCGAGGAAGAACTGATCGACATTGCTATTAAAGAACATTTGTCTCATTTCATTTAATTAAATAAAATTTGCAAATACAAAATTTTACGTAGTATCAAAAAAGATATAATCTTTTTGTAGTGTTTTATGTTACAAATGTGTGAAAAAAAATAAAAAATTTCAAGCGAAAAAAGTTTTTTAATAACCTTTTGTTTAAATAATTTGTTTTATTTAAAACGTTTTTATTAAAATTGTTTCTAATTAAAGTTTAAAATCTTTTATTAATTTGATAAAAATTTAAATTCAAGAAAAAATAGAATAATGGTATATATATTTTTAAATTTATCAATAATTATTTTATTTAATTTAAAAAATTTTTCTAATTAATTCATTCTATCAAAAATGCTATTATTAAAATTGTTTTTAATTAAAGTTTTTTTGAAACTTTTAGAATTAACTATATAAATTTTTAAAATTTGATGAAAAATTCAAAAATATTGCGCAGGAAAATTGTGTTTATAAATAAAATTCAAAAATAGGGTTAAAAATTGTTTTTAATTTTTAACTTTGCAATAAAAGTACATCTCAAAACTAAGCCTATGCTTATATATATACTATATACTATTGTCTCGTGACTTATTCGTTCGCTTGTACATTTCGATACTTCATGCGCGGACTACTGCTTTTTTGCGTGTACTATATTATATAAGACCAACTAAGCGACTTCTACAAACTAACCTACCTTAAATTCTTTACAAGGCCGAGTAACACAGAGCTACTGATTAAATTCTTTCTTGCTTATTTCATTCTTTACAAATCACGGACAAGAATAAAATTACAAATAATAATCTATTTTTTTATACTTACAAAAATCATAATTTTTTCTTTGAAAAACTTGTAAATAATAATTAATAAAAAATAGTAATAATAATAATAATTATTATTATCTTCTAACTTATACAATTTTTCTTACAATACCACTTAGTGGTTTATATTCAACGATTCGATCATGCAAAATTAAACAATATGCTGAAGTGTTGGCCTCAAAGTTTTCTCTAGATTCAAATTCTAAACGGATGTCAACTGGTCCACTTTTTAGTGCCTCATTTTGTTTTGAACAATCAATTACAATTAAAGGAGCATATTGCAAAAATTCTTTTTTTGATAAAAGCGGTTGAGACTCTTTACCATAATAAATATGTTGAAAATTAGCATACATTTCATATAAAATAGAATATTGATTTCTAGTAAAATTAAGATTCATATTACCATATGGATAACTTTGCGAATTTAAAAATAACTTTACATCAGATATATTACAATTATCAAAATAGCTTGAATTTCGCATAGTATTATTTTTCCTATCAGTTTGAAACCCTAATATAATAAATCTAGGTTTCTCCAATTGCGTTGAAGTTTTTACATTCCAAATATGTTTTTGAGTTAATGGTAATAAAGGATACTCATATAATTCCCAAGTTCGAAAACTAATTGGAATCGATGGATCCTTTTCTATATACTTTAACAATTTATATTTTCGAGCATCTGATAATTTTATATATGGCAACAGCCATTCGACTTTTTCTATTACAATTCTAAACTGTTCAATAGGGGCAACTTGACGAACGGCATTCAAATCTGTTCTCGATCTTGTAAAAATGAGCTCGTGTTTAGCGTTTACAATTACTTTTTGATAATCTTCGGCAAAGCCAAAAATCATATTTAGCGGAATACAAACGTCAAAATAACCTTCTGCATTCGTTATTGTTGCATCATTAACAAATTCCAACCAACCAAAATTTTCAAGAAATTTACTTTGAGCAACATCAAAAGAAACATAATTTTTCATTAAGCTTGTAAGTGCTACATTTTTATTTTTATCAATTTCTACACCATTAAGCTCATATTTTGCTTCTTCAAATAAATGACAGACGCCATTGGAAACTATAGATGTGTTTACTACAGCTGTACCATCATTTTTCAAGAGTCTTCCGGTGACATGAATTGAACTTTTACTCGGAAGTAGACAGTGGTCTTGATTTTGCACAGTGATTCGAATTTCATCACTGTTATTGTACGTTGATGAAGTGTACGGCTGCTGCGCATGCACTTCATAATGTGCAATAGCCTCATCAAAAACAATTGGTTGTTCAATATTTAATATTTCCTCGTCCATGACAAGAAAAAATTCTGCGAAACACAAATACACAGACACAAGTGCAAAATAATTTAAATCTTTTTAGCCTTTGTTTTTTACAATTTTTAGGCCTAGATTTTTCAGGAGCTGGAGATTTTGAGGTGTTAATCTCTTCACACTTTTTCGTCGACTGAACTGTTTTTGACATGTTGGTTTAGTTTTATAGCCGTAACCAATCTTATTTTTATTATTAAAAACAATACCCATTATCCTTGAGACTTGAGGTGTAATCTTATTGTTATAGTTTCTCCCCGAAAATTGACTATATTTCCATCTTGATCAACAATTCGCACTTGAATGTAATCTATTGTCTTGACGGAGACTGGCAGATAAATGACGTTATTTGGGACTTCCACTATTTTATATCCTGGTGGCACAACAGGAAAAAATTCATGAATTGTATGTACTTTTTCACCATTAATGTATGCCCCTGTAGTTATGTTACACTCTACTCTTAATGCATTTATTCTAGTAATTGACACTGGTTGGTCAGATTCATGGTATTCTCTAGATTTTAATTTCCGTGGAGAAAATCCTAGCAAACTTCCAATAGAGTCTTTGGGTTCAAAATCAATTTCTTGATCGCAATAAATTGTACATTTTAAAGTATTATTATTAGGTTTAATTTTTAAATTGATTCCTTTGTTTTTTAAAATAATATGCAAAACTTGGTCAATATCGTTAATTTCATAACTTCCAGTAGGTATAATAATTTCTTCATTTCCTACGTAAAATTTATTTTTTCCTATATCCACATTTGGAATAGAATGAAACGATAAAAATTCAACAAGACCCAAAGTATAATTTTTAAAAGGAGACAATTCAATTGGTGGAAAGTATTGAGACTCTAAAATGGAAGAATTTCCAGACAGCGTTAAAATAATCGACTCGTTCATGGTGGTTTCAAATAATTAACTGACTCTTAAAATATAAAAATCATTTATTTATATGCACAGAATACATGTCAGAAATATGTAATTGATTACATAAAAATTTAAGACATAAATGTCCACAGACAAAAGTGTCAAAATTTTGATATTTTTTATAATTATACGTAACGTAATCTACATCAAAATAACGAATAAGGTCCAAAGGAGGTCGAAGATTACCAAAACTATCGAAATAAACAATTTTATCTTTATTTATTTTATAAGCACACCAGTGTGTTCCTGGTCCATCTTTGTCATCTAAATTTATTATTCCTGATTCATTTTTTCTAGGACCACTTATTGGCAGTTCATTACGCATAAAGACTCCTCGAAAATGTGGAATCTTTAATTGATTTGAAAATTTAAATAAATCGACATCGGTTAAAGCACGGTGAGGTAACTTTATTTTAAGTTTTTTTTTGATGTTTTTTTTTTTAGTCCCCGTCCTTGCATGTGTGGTTTTAAATGAAGTCCTACTCCTTCCTTGTAAGGTTTTAAATAGAGTCCTTTGCCCAAAGAAATTGCTTCCATTGCCTCATTGTGACGTTTCTTTTCTTCAAGTTGACGTTTCGCCGCGCTTGCGTCATTCACTGCTTTTGCGATACCAGCAGCGCCTCCTGCAAGTGCACCGGTCGCACTTAAACCCGCGAAAAGGGGAATAAGGAAAGGTAAAACTCCCCCCACTTTCGTTGAAACGGGTAAAATGCGCGGTTTTTTTACTTTTCCCTTTCCGCCAGCTTTTTTTACAGCTACTCGTGCGCCAAGCAAAGCAGATTTAATGACAGCATTTACATTACTATCATTTGGATTCATTGTTTTTTTTGCTGCTGATACAATATTTTTTAATGTCGTAGATGGTCGTTTTTTACTTTTATTTAGACCCATACCCAATTTAGATTTTACTTTCATGGTGTTTGTTATTGCGTAAGCGGCAAGTTTTTCACCAGCACCAGCGTCTGGCGCGAGAACACGATTCCAAGCTTTTTCAGCGAGTACTTTATCAGCTTCGTTTCTAGCTTCGATATTTTCTCTATTTTTAGAATAAGCAATATCGTGTTCTTTACACGCAGAGTCTAGAGGATTAATTCCTTTGTCTCCACGGGCAAGTCTTTTAGCTAATTTTGTTCCTGGACCACAATATTGATACCCAGGAATATGTAACTCTACTGGTAAATTATTTATAATTTTGTTAATAAAACCTCTTCCACGTCTTACCCCTTTCACAGTTCGCTTGCAACTGACTTGTTTTTTACCTGAATGCACAATCATATTCTTAGGAGAGTTAAAAGTAGACTAATAAAATTTTCTATATAAGTGACATATTTATAGATTTTTATTTAGTTTGAGGAAAGATGGAGTTTGAAACACAACCAGTAAAATTACCAGTCATTAATTTTGATACAGTTATACAAAAAACCGACAAAAAAAACCGTCATGGTAATTTATTGCCAAGTAGTGTACGAGCTATATTTTGTGGTCCTTCTAACTGTGGAAAAACGAATGCTTTGCTTGCACTTTTAATTCATCCAAATGGACTACGTTTTGAAAATCTTTATGTTTTTTCAAAATCTTTAAATCAACCAAAATATAAATTTTTAGAAAATGTTTTGCAACCCATAGATGGTGTTGAATATTTTCCATTTAATGAGCATGCAGATGTTGTGGCTCCCAGTGAAGCACGACCTAACTCAATATTTATATTCGATGACGTCGCGTGTGAAAAGCAAGATAACATTAAAGCGTACTTTGCTATGGGTCGACACAAGGCGGTTGACTGTTTCTACTTGTGCCAGACGTACGCTCGCATTCCAAAGCATTTGATACGAGATAATGTAAATCTATTAGTCATATTTAGGCAAGATGAAATGAACCTTAAACATATATATGATGATCATGTAAATACAGATATGCCATTTACGAAATTTAAAGAAATTTGTAATTCCTGTTGGAAAAATAATCATGATTTTTTAGTAATTGATAAAGATTGTGAAATTAATCGTGGTCGATATAGAAAGTGTTTTGATTGCTTTATAAAATTGGAGGATTAATCTAATGAAATGACAGTACCTTTTTATACTTTGAATAAGCAGCATGCCTTCTTCACAGTTTAAAAATTTGCAAAAACAAAAAAATATTCTTGGTGAAATTGCTAAAGCAAGTGAAGCGATTCGACGAAAACATCGATTAATAAAGTTGGGCAAAGAAGAAATTGAGCAATCTTTAAATACTACTTTTAAACCAATAGTCACTCCAATTCAAAAATTAGCTGATGAATTTGAAATCATTAAACATATTCGTCCACAAAAAATAGAAGTTAAAAATGAACAAGATTTTAAACAAGAAGATATTATTGATCCTGGTTTTAATAATTTTTATGCAAGTTCAGAAATAAAAAATGAACAAGATGATGAAATGTCATTTAAAACTGCATCTTTAGATGATAGTATTGCACAAGATGATTTAACAACTCTAAATTCATCAACAAATTTAGAGGCAAATTTTATAAATCATTATTTACAATTATTAGATAAAAAGAAAAAGGATATGGACAATACATATGGGGTTCGAAAATTAGCCAAAGGAAGGTTAATGATTGGTGATTCACCAATAAATTTTGAAGAAAATAATATCATTATAAACAATTCAGTTTATCATGCAACAAAGGGTTTACTGGAACTTTTATTTAAAAAAACACCCCAAGAAAATTTTATAAGTTTTGACGATCGTGAAAATTATGCAAATATTGTCATTTCAACTAATGCTCACAAAAAGTATTATAAATCAGATGAAAATATTCGTGAGAATAAAACTTTGAAATTTCAAAATTTTATTGCAAAAAAAATACCATCCCCAAAATCTGAGAAAAAGAGACAAGGAAAAGGCATAGTGCCACAATATATGATTAATCAAGAAAATACAAATATTGATTATATTTATTGGGATGATCCGAATGAATTAGTAGACCGTTTACGATTACTCTTGGCGTCTCAAGCTGCCGGAAACCCCAGTCATAATAATGAAATCATTTCTATAATTGAAGAATTACGTGAAGCAAAAATTATTTATTAACCAAGTTTTATAAATTTTAACTTCATTTCAAACATGAGTATCGACATATTCGGACGTCAGTTAAAGAGCGCAGGGACCCCAAATCGCGGGCCTCCAGGACTCGGTTTTAAATTTACATCTGATGGACACTTTAATATGGAAAATAAAAAATTATGCAACGTTGCCGATGCTCAAAGCGAAGGTGATGCAGTAAATTTAAATCTTGTTAATAAAATTATTGAAGTGACATCAAACACCATCTATAATGTAATAGAAACGTTAAAAGCTGATAATAATGTTAGAATTTCCACGTTGGAAGATACAGCAACAAGATTTTTCGAAAATCTGAAATCACATATTGAAAGAAATATAGAATTGTTGTCTATGAAAGAGACCATTTCTCGCCTGGACATCAGACTGAAAGCACTTGAAGGAAATCAACCTTTGTGAAAATGGAAAATAAAGAAGTACAAGTGGTGAAAGAGTTACACAAACCAGCCAGAAGAAATTATAAACGAAGAAATGTTGATATTCGAGGTATTGACGAGACTTGGCAAGCTGATCTCGTTGAAATGCAACGTTATGCACGAGAAAATAAAGGCTACAGGTACTTGTTAACGGTCATCGATGTATTTTCCAAGTTTGCCTGGGCTGTGCCCGTCAAGTCCAAGAAGGGTGAAGATGTGACTGCAGCAATGAAATCTGTTCTGATAAAAGGACGCGTTCCAAAAAATTTACAAGTGGATAATGGAAAAGAATTTTATAATTCTCATTTTAAAAATCTTATGTTATTTTATAAAATTAATATATATTCTACTTTTAGTGATTTAAAAGCATCAATTTGTGAACGTTTTAATCGTACTTTGAAAAATAAAATGTGGATGAAATTTAGTTTACATGGCAATTTTAAGTGGATTGACATTTTAAGTGACTTAATAAATGTATATAATAATACTAAACATCGAACCATTAAAATGAAACCAAAAGATGTAAATAATCAAAATGCGAGACATTTATTATTAAATGTATTTAAAAAAAACTGCATTGTAAATAGGCAAAAAAGAAATTTTAAAATTGGAGATAAAGTGCGCATAAGTAAATATAAACATATTTTTGAAAAAGGCTATACTCCAAATTGGACTACAGAAATATTTACTGTAAGCTGTGTAAAAAATACAAATCCACCAACTTATCTTTTAAAAGATTATCAGGAAAATTTAATCTCTGGATCCTTTTACGAACAAGAACTTTCTAAAGTTAAATATACTGATGCTTATTTAATTGAAAAAATACTTAAAAAACGAGGATCCAAAGTACTTGTAAAATGGTTAGGTTTTGATAGTACACATAATAGTTGGATAAATAAATCAGAAGTGTAATAATTTTTATTTGTAATAACTTTTATTTGTAATAAAACATATTTATTTGTTTATACAAGTTGTTTACATTAAACACATTCCAATATTACTTATTTTAGGTATTAGTTCAAAAATGTCTTTTGATAAGTGTTTTAAATTAAAAGCCATAATATCAACAAATAATGGCTTAAATTCTAAATTTGATAAAACATCGATTTTTCTTTCAAGCTTTTTAATTAAATTTTTATAATTTTTTTTAATAAAAACTTGAATTTCTTTTTCACTTGACAGATTTTTATACCACAAAATTTCTGCAAGAGATTTCACAATTAAACAGTACATTTTTTTCAAACGGAATGGAGTTAAATATTCGAAACGCTCATCGAAACAAGGAACAAGGTTTTCCAAAATTTTGAAAGATGTTTTCTTCATAATAAACGGATAACACAATTTTTCATTTCTTTTATCTTCCAGTGTCACAGTATTTTCTCCCAGAAAAACTCCAAAACGGATTTGAAAATTTCCAAAAGTAATAGTTTCCATGGGTGTTTCATTTCCATTAAAATAAGATGAAATAGTTTCCATGAGACATGTAAAAGAAATCCAGTTTTCAAAATTGAATGAAATATCGCTTCGAGGATGGCTTGACATAAATTTTAAAACACTGCACAGTTCTCCATTACTTTTAAATTGCACTCCTATTGCAACTTGTTTGGTGAACGAGGAGTTTAAATTAAATGTGCTTGAAAGAAACATTTGATTTCTTGGTATATACGACATGTTGTTTTTTACAATTCAATAAACTCAATATGATTGTAAATTCCTCCAAGATATTTAAGTCCCAATTGACTGTTTGCACTTAACTCTTTCAAATGTGAAAGCAGATGCTCGTCTTCACTAATAACATCGAAAATCCTTTTTGGTAAAAACACCGCAAACTGTTTTCCAATATCAGCCACAATTCGCGAACCAAATCTGGTTTTTACGAGGTGAAGATCAGAAATAAGGTAAATTTCATTCACTGTCAGCTCATTTAATTTTTTCTTTTCCAGGTAATTGTTTCCCTTTCCAGCCAGGTTCAACTTTTGAAAATTCATTTTTTTTTTATTAAAATTTTAGTTTTTCAAATTTTTTTTGGTTAAATCACCGTAATTTTTAGCGTCAGAACGAGATTGTTCGTTCAGACTTAATTTTTCAAAATTTTTTGATAAATCTTGAAAAGTACGAGATTCTTGAATTGATCTATTCAAGCTTCTTTGAAAGCTTTGATTTCGGTCACGACTGCTCATTTAGTATGTATACTCTTGAGGTTTAGAGTAAACTAATGAACAGCACTGAACTTGACATCCCTTTTATACCCCACAATTCGATAATAAAAATTCCTTGTAACAATAATATCCTTTCAACAATAACAAATTTGACATACCACTTGCAATAAACAAAACTATTAACAAGTATCAAATTTCATAACTTATCTAAAGTTTATATCTTATCAATTGAAAATATTCATTTCAGACATATTAAATAACAATTTTTATTATAGAAAGAAATGCACATTGCAAAAAATGTTTTAACTATACACCATTATTTATTTACTGCGCTCTTATGCATCTCTAAATTCCATACATACCAAACTTGTAAAAATAATAGATGTGCAAAATAAATTTTTTAGATAACGCAATCATTTCTTAATAAACAATTAAACATTCCTAACTAAAAAAATATATGACGTAATCTCAGATATATACAGGGGGAGTTCTGGATATGACAAAAACTCGAAGCCTGTATCCAGAACTCCCCCTGTATATCTACTAACCTCCATGTGCTTGGAATTCATTACCTCAACGTTATAAAAGTGAAAATCTCTGGCTAACAAACAATTATCATGGAATCCACTGGATGTCTGGAGATGTATCTTATGATGAACTGCGTACTATTATACAAGAAACATTACGAGGTGCAAAAACTATCTACACGAAAGGTGTTGAAAAAAAGCAGTGGTTAGAAAAATATTTGTTAAATGTGCAAAATTTAGAAGATATAGACTGTCCAGCAATTAAAAATATTAAAACTGAATCATTGTTAACTACATGTACACATCATATTACTCAAACTAATCATTGTGCTGTAAACATTGTTATGATTCTTCGAAATTGGTTTCTGAATGTATCGAATGAATTGAGAAATTTATCAGATGGCGTCGATGAAGTGGATTGTACTTATACTACTTTAAAATCTTTTTATGAAAATTCTGAATCTTATGTATAATAAATTTTAAATACTTTATCTGAATAAATTAATTTATTAGTTTTTGAAAAATAAAAAAAAAACGTCTATTTATTACTTGAACCTATACCCTTAGTATTAAGACTAATAATGAAGGTAAAATAAGAAAAGAAACCATTTTTTATGTAAATTAATACATTTATTTTTCTCACATTATGAATATTTACAATTTTATATTACAATTATTTTTTCTTTTTATATTTTAATAATTTTTTAATATTACTTATATTCAAATTCGATTACATTAAACTTGCCGCCGATATATTTTAATTGTAATTTTTGAGATTGCGCGGCTTCTTCCATCATTGTGAATGATGCAGGTTCAGTTTCGAACAGCTTCGCGAACCTTGCTGGGAGGAAAGTGTTGAATGTAGTATCTAGTTCTGCTACAATCCTACCTCCGAATTTTGTCTGCACCCTCTTTATTTTGGTTACAGTATATAAAGCATTTGGAGTCAACTCAGCAAGCGGTTTTGTTGGCAGGAAGCTTTCCATGTGACCAATAGCGTTGAGTTTTTGTAAATCCATGATTTCTTTTTATATCTGTAAGCAGAAGTAAATGGAAAATTTTAATATAAAAATCAAAATTAAGCTGGGAGGGAAGTGGGTTAAAAAAAGGAGTTAAAGTAGAATATATACCTTATAGAAGATGGAGTAGTGATGCTAATGCTGTGACAGCTGTGGATGTTGTTGCTTCAGTATATCTGTAACAGTTATGCTATCTTTGGGCTTGTGTTCTGCATTATATGCCATCAGCCCCACTCTTCTTTTTTCCCCCACTTCTTTTCACTCCCACTTTAAATAAAAAACTGCGCACGCAACACACCATATACTATGTACCCCCACTCTATTATAATAAGACTTATGCAAAGGGGTTAAAAATTTAAAAATTCCCGCGAGAAACAGCGCCATCTTGCGACAACAGTCGGTAACATCGGTCTATGATAAAGTAGAGTTACCATTGAAAAATAGGGGCTTACCATGGAAAAAAGAAGTTTTAAAAAGTGCCTTTTTCTTCTAAAAAACAACATTAGTATATGGTAAAATAGTTACATACCATGAAAAATATAATCGGCATGCAAATTAGTGGGTGGAAAGTTGGAGGGAAGCTTAAAATGACGTGAGTGGGTGGTAGAGGGTGACCAAGTGGGAGGAATGTGGGTGGGATTCTCTATTTTAATTCTACTGCTGCGAGTGCTGAAGGTCTACTGCTGCTCATACTGGAAGCTGAAACAGAATGACTTTTCTTGCCACAAGAATCGCCTGAGGTACATGTAGTCCCCACCATACACAACATCCCACCACTGAACTCCATCCCCACTTGACGCATGGACTACCAACGGGCCCCGGTGACCGTACGCGCACATCTGCCGCGCA